TTATCGATTCTTCTTTCCTTTACTTGAAGACGTCAGTAAACATTGGGTTATCGTGACAAAACTATACAAGCCGGTGGATCATAAGTCTTTCTTTCACTCACTCTAAGTCTCAATAGATGATATACATTCATAATAACAAACGAGGCTCGCGTGTTCCTTTTTTGGGGGAAGCTTAGAGAACCTTGGGTGGAAAATGAAACGAAGAAATCATACTGGAATGATACAAAATTCTTGGCTACGTCCAAATTACTAACACACAGATTGTCTTGTAAATGTAGGTACACATGACTAGCGAGATATGTGTACAGGACTGGGGAGTTTACGTACACGGTCGGATGTGGACCTTGTGCTGTATAGTGGCGACCTTCTCCTCCGGTAATACGACACATGTGAATACGGGACTCGTAGTTTCGACCTAACCTAACCTAACCTCTTCCCCACATCAGAGTTTACAGTTTGGCGGCTGGGGCTTAGGGTCAAACAGCAGCAGCAGCAGCAGGTGGAGGAGGCACGGCTGTGTGTGTGGCAGGCAGACAAACCCCCTGCAGCCAAAATGTTTCTCACCTGATATACGACCACCTCGCATAACAACACTGACCCACCCACCCACCCTCAGACCCCCTGACAGCCCTAACACATGACACACCTGGCCCCCTAACCCACGCTTATACTGAGGGTCGGACAACACACCTTTCTCCTTCGTCCACGTGACACTGTCCTTCATCGTCAGGTGTTAAGGACAAGCGGGACACGGGGTTACATACGAGTTGCCTGTGTATCCTCAACTCAATATTCCTCCACGATATCACAGCCGTATATATCAGGAAGAGAGAAAAAAAAAAAGGTATCCCACACAGATGCCATGTCGAGGGAAGCAGGCAGGCAGGCAGGCGTGGTGGCATGAATGGCAATGTACCAAGAGCTATTCCCTGGACAAAATGCGACACATACCTCACAGTGATCCAAGGCGCTAGTGACGTAATGGTTCAGCAGTGTGTGTGTGTCGCGTGCCTGGATCATTAACCCAGTATGGCTTTGGTGATTTGCGTGTGTGGCATGAAGTAGTGTCCTTGAATCAGTCTCCTTGTGTGGCAATAGCGGGTACGGACATGAATATGACATTTTCCTCGCGTGCTATTGCTAGTATTTTCTCATCTGCAAGGCTGAATGCTTGCACTTGTTCCATCAGGAATATGAAAGTAGTTTGGTGGTGGTGAGGAGGAGAAGGTGGTGAGGGGTTGGGTAGTGAAGTGTGCCGTTCTTATCTCCTCCTACAATATAATTATCTATTTGCGGTTCCTTCCGAAATTTTCTATACTTATATATGTGTGTGTGTGTGTGTGTGTGTGTGTGTGTGTGTGTGTGTGTGTGTGTGTGTGTGTCTTGTGTGTGTGTGTGTGTGTGTGTGTGTGTGTGTCTGTGTCTGTGTGTGTGTGTGTGTGTGTGTGTGTGTGTGTGTGTGTGTGTGTTTTACCGTCACCTAACCCTGTGTTTGAGGTAAAATAAGTTATTGTTATGCCCGGTTCTTTTCCATTTATTCATCTGACAAAATATTACTCGGCAACATTCCTTTACTTCTGCAGAGACTTAACCTGATCTAGTACTGTTCCTTCTTCTTCTTCTTCTTTTTCTGTTAATCTTCTTCTTCTCCGTATTCTTCTTCTTCTTCTTCTTCTTCTTCTTCTTCTTCTTCTTCTTCTTTCTTTCATTTTCTTCTTTCTCATTTCTTCTTCTTTCTTTCTTCTTCTTTCTTTCTTCTTTCTTATTTCTTCTTCTTTCTTTCTTCTTTCTTCTTCTTTCTTTCTTTTTCTTCTTTCTTCTTCTTTCTTTCTTCTTTCTTCTTCTTTCTTTCATTTTCTTCTTTCTCATTTCTTCTTCTTTCTTTCTTCTTTCTTCTTCTTTCTTCTTTCTTATTTCTTCTTCTTTCTTCTTTCTTATTTCTTCTTCTTTCTTCTTTCTTCTCCTTCTTTCTTCTTCCTTCTTTCTTCTTCTTTCTTTCATCTTTCTTCTTTCTTCTTCCTTCTTTCTTTCTTCTTTCTTCTTCTTTCTTTCTTTCTGTTAATCTTCTTCTTCTCCGTATTCTTCTTCTTCTTCTTCTTCTTCTTCTTCTTCTTCTTCTTGTATTTTAATGTACTTTATATACCTGCATTGTCTATGTATATGCTTAATTAATATGAGTTTATATGATGATTCTAATGTCTATCTATCCATCTATCCATCTATCCATCTATCCATCTACCTATCCATCTATCTATCTATCCTCCACCTGTGTTCGAGCCCCATTCACTCCATTGATTATTAACACACACACACACACACACACACACACACACACACACACACACACACACACACACACACACACACACACACACACACACACACACACACACACACACACACACACACACACACACACACACACACACGCTGGGCTTACTCCTCCTGTAACTGATAATAGAGAAACAAGGACATAAAAAAATAAATAAACAAATAAATAATCAAAGAAATAAACAGAGGGGAACGGAAAACATTTTACCTTCACTTGCAGCTAAAAGGGAAAAATATTTATGGTTTGTGTATTTTTGGGGGTTATATTTCTTCTTAAAAAAATATATTTATGGATATATATGACTGACTTTCTTTCTTTCTTTCTTTCTTTCTTTCTTTCTTTCTTTCTTTGAAATACACTCGATACATTTTTCTTTCCTTCCTTCATCTCTCTCTCTCTCTCTCTCTGTCGGCGCGCGTGTGTGTGTGTGTGTGTGTGTGCACGTCTCTACACCCGTCGTTCACCTCACGTTCACCTGTGTACCTATACGTTCACTTACACTTTTAAATACACATATATTCTTGTAACAATGTTCAATTCTACGTTCCTCGGGTAAAACAGCTCATTTTAATAGCTTTTAGCCTCACGAGAGTTGTACTTAAGCTATGGTGAATGAGAGAGAGAGAGAGAGAGAGAGAGAGAGAGAGAGAGAGAGAGAGAGAGAGTTGTGCTCAGTTGTTTGTAAATATTAAAATAAAACCCTTTTCCTTCCCTCCTCCCTCTCTCTCTGTGTACATTGGATTAGCGTCTGTAGGGTGGGTGATGGAATTAACTAGTCTTGTGATAGGTGAAGGTGAACCATCAGGGTTTAGGTGAGCCTTCAAAGCACGCCAATCAACATTGTAAAGGTGTGGAAGTGAGGTGTAAGGTGAAGGTGTGTAGGAATAAGGTGTATGGTGTAAGTGTAGACGTAAGGTGAAGGTGTAGGAATAAGGTGTATGGTGTAAGTGTAGAAGTAAGGTGAAGGTGTAGGAATAAGGTGTATGGTGTTTGTGGACCATCAAGGTGTAGGTCAGCTTGAGGCCATAATATGAACTGGTTTATATCCCGTCAGGCTGGAGGGAGGTCTCAGCCCACCCCGACACTCTCTCTCTATATAAAGGTCAACCTGGTGAATATTTCATGCCCAGGAACGTACACACGGACATAAAAGACCCCCACCATGTGAACGTATTTGGGAACGAAACATAACATGGGGAAGCGTATACAAGAACGTAACAAAAAACTCAGAAACTTACACATGAACGTATCATAACTGCGTCCAGAAGCGTACACATGAAAGTAACATAAAACACTTAGAAACGTACACATGAACGTATTATAAAAACTTTGACTGTACATATAACAGTAACATAAAAAACACCTAGTTAAGAAGCACATATGAATACGGAAGAAAGTGCACAGATGAACATACTTGTGCACTTACACATGATAACAAAAGCTTATGTGCACATGAACGCGCTTAAAATCAATCTACAGATAAAGAGACTTTGGAACGTGCAGTACACAAGAACGAAAACGCATACATGAATGATCTTTTGACCTCCGCCATTGTCAACACAGGTAGGTCACTCATTCGCGTAAATATTCAACCAAAGGCGAGATCACCGAACACGACGAAACACCCCCAGGTAAAATAAAGACTAGCTGTTCCACGCCTCCTGACCCCGTGTAATGTCCCCCTGGTGGCCACGTCAGGAAGTATGGATTGATCCACGCCTCCTGACCCCGTGTAATGTCCTCCTGGTGGCCACGTCAGGAAGTAAGGGTTAATCCACGCCTCCTGACCCCGTGTAATGTCCCCCAGGCCACAAAGAAGTAAGGCTGAATCCACGCCTCCTGACCCCGTGTGCACGTCCTGGTGGCCACGTCAGGAAGTAAGGGTTAATCCACGCCTCAGACCCGTATCCTCCCAGGACACGTCAGAAGCAAGTGGCTGATCCACGCCTCCTGACCCCTGTAATGTCCCCTGGTGGCCACGTCAGGAAGTAAGGGCTGATCCACGCCTCCTGACCCCGTGTAATGTCCCCTGGTGGCCACGTCAGGAAGTAAGGGTTAATCCACGCCTCCTGACCCCGTGTAATGTCCTCCTGGTATGCCGAAGTAAGGCTGATCCACGCCCTGACCCCGTGTAATGTCCTCCTGGTGGACACGTCAGGAAGTAAGGGTTGATCCACGCCTCCTGACCCCGTGTAATGTCCCCCTGGTGGCCACGTCAGGAAGTAAGGGTTGATCCACGCCTCCTGACCCCGTGTAATGTCCCCCTGGTGGCCACGTCAGGAAGTAAGGGTTGATCCACGCCTCCTGACCCCGTGTAATGTCCCCCTGGTGGCCACGTCAGGAAGTAGAAGTACACGTCACCTAACTACGAAGGCAGTAATAACAATTGGATTAATAAAGAAAAGTAAATTTGGATTTTACTCTTGAAACTGGCCACACAGGTTACCAAAATGCTATTGAAGGTTTAGATATACAAGAACTTAATTAACTCCAAGATGTGTGTGGATTAAGTCTGGCAGGGTAATGTTAGCTTACCTGCAGCGCCTCCTCCTCCTCCTCCTCCTCCTCCTCCAGAACACTCCATTCATGTCTACAGCTTACGTCACTCACGAATGGTATAAATCAACCAAGGTCATCAACAAAACTACACGACGGAAAGTATGAAAGATCAACAATACCTTGTATATGAATGTCGACCGATGACGTCACAGTTCACTTCGGTTGGCCAGACAGGATCAATGTCGGAGTGTGATATTTGACGGTGAGTTGAATTCCTGAAGAAGAAAACAAATATAAATAAATTCATTCTTACAGTGAAAAGTTTCCGACGTAAATAAAGAAAAAAAGAAAGAAAGAAGTAACTATTGCTTTCTGTTCGTCTCTGCTAACTATTCCACCACTCTCACACTCTTATAAAATCCGATTGTGATCGTGTGTCCACTTCAACATTGGACCAAAATCTCCACCCCCCCCCCGCCAGCGATAATAATCTCTCACTTATTGCTTATCCCCAGAGCCTTGTGATGGCATTAAGTTAAACACAGCTTTAGTAATGTTTCACCTTGTTTAAACAGGAACGTCTGCGGCGTCTCTACCACACTTACCGGTATTAGAAGGGATTATGTTGTGTCACGTGATAATTGCCTCTTGTGACTGTGCCTAATACTATGTTGTCTTGGTTACTGTGTTCTTAGATTTATATAATGGCGTCTGTGGCCGTGTCCTTCTAGTAAACTTTATTATTAATATTTTTTACTATTATTATTATTATGACTATTACAACTCTTATGTTATTATTATTATTATTATTATTATTATTATTATTATTATTATTATTATGTCTATTGTTATATTACTATTACCGTTATTGTTATTATTATACATTTTAATAGAGATTTATTACTATTTTAATACATGAACGTGCCTGAAACGTACACATGAACGGAGAGCCTAAGAACGTACACATGAACGGAGAGCCTGAGAACGTACACATGGCAGGAGAGCCTAAGAACGTACACATGAACGGAAAGCCTAAGAACGTACACATGAACGGAGAGCCTGAGATCGTACACATGAACGGAAAGCCTAAGAACGTACACAGGAACGAAAAACCTAAGAACGTACATATGAACGTAGAGCCTGAGAACATACGGGTGAACGCCAGGGTAGAGACTCACAGGTGAACGCCAAGGTAGAGACTCACAGGTGAACGTGCAGGTGAACGCCGGGTAGAGGCCTCCACTGGGGCGTTCAATTATTCAGGAGCAGTGTGAGTGTGTGTCCGCAGAGAGTAATTATTGTGGCTTCCTTTATTGTTATTCTTCTCCTTCTCTCTCTCTCTCTCTCTCTCCTTCTCTCACTCTCCTCTCTCTTTCACTCTCTCTCCTTCTCTTTCTCTCTCTTATTCACTCTGTCTTGTTCTCTTTCTCCCTCTCTCATTCTATCACTCACTATCACTTGCTCCCTATTTTCTCTCTCTCTCTCTCTCTCTCTCTCTCTCTCCTTTCTATCGCCCTTACTCTCTTATTATCTCTTTCTGATCTTTGTTTGTCTGTCTGTCTTCAAATTCTCTAGAGATGGGATGGTGCATTGTCATGTGTGTGTGTGTGTGTGTGTGTGTGTGTGTGTGTGTGTGTGTGTGTGTGTGTGTGTAATAATAATAATAATAATAATAATAATAATAATAATAATAATAATAATAATAATAATAATAATAATAAACGGTTTATTAATAGAGTTGCAGCCGGTGGCTGAAAATATACAGACTTACATTTGATTTAGACATAATGATATAATATGCATTGAATACATTTACAGGGCTGTACAGTACATAAATCAGGAGTTGTTTATTATTTTAACAATAGATGGGATGGTGCTGTTCTTATATCTATCGGTGCGGGCTCTTATGGGCTGAATTTTGTTGTAGTGGTGGATGCGCGAGTTGGGTGGGGAGCTGCTGGTGGCAGGAGGTGGCGATGACGAGGGGCGGTGCAGTAGTCCTCTGCCAAACCTTTCCAGTGCTTGGTGGTGGAGGTCACTGAGGGATGGCATTTCCAGGGTGGAAGAGCGTTGGTGTAGCCGGAGTATTCTGCGCCGAGCATGATTCTGCAGGCCCTTTTCTGTACCTTCTCTAGCTGACGTTGTTGGGTGGAGTTGAGAGAACGACCAGGCTGGTGACGCATACGTTAGTTTGGGTTGAATAAAGGCGTTGTAGATGGTCTCAGCTATGGCGTGGGTGTCCCAAGTGACCTAAGTCGTCGTAGCATGTAGAGACGGTACGAGGCTGTCTTGACTGTGTTATTTACATGGACCTTCCAGTCAAGTTTGTTGTCTATAGTTACACCCAGGAGTTTGGCAGACTGCACCAGCTGGAGGATGGGCACCCACTGTGACTGCTGGGGCTTGCACTGGAGTGGTGGCGGTATTGATGTGCATGACTACGGTTTTGGTGTGGTTGATGGTGACCTTGTTCTCCGTAGTCCATGCCTGTAGCCTGTCCAGGGTGCCTTGTAGCGATGAGTAGTCTGGTGTGGTGTTGTCCACTGAAACCCCCACAGTGCAGTCATCCACACATTTAATATACAGAAGATGTAAGGAAATGGTGTGTGTGTGTGTGTGTGTGTGTGTGTGTGTGTGTGTGTGTGTGTGTGTGTACCTGGGTGGAAAACAGATGCTGCTTATGCGGATGTCTGTTTGTAACGCAAAATCACTGACAGACTCACACACACACACACATACCACACACACACACACACACAGACAGACTCACTCACT